AATCCACAAAAATTATAAAAACCTAGAAAAAGAAAAGTTTTCAGAACAACCGCCTATTACCCTAAAAATATTAAGGCATATATGTAATCATGAACCAGTACCCGTTGCTTCTGACCGGGCAGCTTCAGTTAATCCAAATTTGTGCAGCGTCTGAATAATAGCTTCTTCGACCAAAAACACGAATCGGCGAACACCAACCTTTACTGAAGACTCTGCTTCACTACGGACGGCCAAAGAATTTAAATCAAAAATGGGATAAGCAACTAACTGACCCGGTCCATGAAAGGTAATCAATCCTCCACGATTAGTGCTATAAAACGACAATTACCTGCTGTCTGCAAAGTAGAGTGCTAAAAACTGAAACATGTATTATAAGATGAATTAAAAACCGGTAGAACGAGGCTCCCAGTTTCTTCAAGCGAGCCTCCTCCGCTGATGAATACACATGACTTCTAAGCCCAACTGTATAAACAGGATCGTGTTCCAACAACAGCAAATAGTTCCTAAAACATTCCTCTGAGTAAAACAAAAGAGCAATATTACTTCACAGATTGTACATACCTTCTAACACGACCGTAAGCTTTAGCTTTTTTTATCCTTTCAAAGAACTGTTTTTGGACTTCTAATCCAGAACTGTAGCTTATCCTTCCAAAGTGCACAGCCTCCAGAACACTGCTCTTCAAACACCTCGAAACATGCATACTAATCTCGTCAAAAAAAAAAAATAGGCCGAAGACAGGAAGAAACGTCGGAATACTATCTAGCAATGAGCAATAAGGTAAAAAGCGCTAGTCGCCTCTATTATTCTACCGCAGAAAATTCAAAACTATTTCCGTTTCGGAATTGGCGCAGATACAGCATACAGCTTCTTTTCACGGTACCTAAAGCAGTTTTCATAAATACGCTTCATCTCTAAAATAATGCGTTTTTGAGAAATCACACAATCTATGTCGTTAAATGAGTTTCAAAAGTAGAAGTAAGGTGTTCTCACCGTGGATAGAATGTATTTTTCCGCTCGTAAAAAATTTCTTGCAGCTCGTGATAGCGAGGACCTCTCTTGTACCGCTCACGTAAATCTTCTTTTAATATTTCTTTTCTAAAGACCGAAGAGGTCTGAAAAAACAGACATGAACTAACGAAGAAAAGAATTCTCTGTTAGTGGACGAAAAATGACTGGTCTGGCAGACAGCAATGCCTCTAATATAGTCTTCTGTGTACAACAAGCAATTTACGCAAAAAGAACAGCAAAAGTCCTTTTCCTGTCAAAAATATTGCTATGCCTTTTTTGCCTTTTCTTGACGAACAATACAGTTGCAAAAACCACAGAAAACAATTGACAAACAGAACCAAGAATTTTAGTAAGAACTTGATAAAAAAAGATTGTGGAAGAAAATGTATGAAATCCTTTAGTTCTTCTACCTTCTGAAAAAGGTGACGCCCAAAGCTGCTTCGCAATTTCTAGAAACTCCCAAGTAAAAAAGAAATAGGAGTGGAAAGGTGCAGCATTTAGCCGAAAAAAAAGTAAGAATATGACCTTGAACAATGCGAAAAAAAAGTAGAGGTAAAAATGTTGCATTGAGCTACATCTTAGTCTACTTACAGATTCCTCTTTTTTCAGTAGTTTGAGATCAATAGGGCGAGTGTGTTTATAAGGAAACGGCGGGTCAGGATGCCAACAAGCGACAATACCGTTTGAGCATACAACCGTATGAGGCTGACTGAAAAATAGGTGGTAAAGGTGCTCAAGAAAAAAAGCAATATATAGCAAGAAAAGGCCTGACAGTTTTCAGTTTTTAGGTCATTATTAGTCTAATAACTCACTCGAAATCAATATCCTGTACTTCCACAACAGGAGGTTTAGATGCAAATTGTCTGCAGAGACGTAAATAACAAGAACCAGTGGTATTAAGGCACTGATTAAGGGTATTATACAACCTCTGTTGCAGCATTTATAACTATAAATTTGAACGCATCAACCTAAAACCATAACATATCATTTTCAGAAGCTTTAATTGATTTTCTTCTCTTTCAAAAAAATTAACTTGTCAGTAGGGACTACAGTGAAAAAGGACAATATACAAGCAAGTAAAAAGTAATATTCATTAGGGTTTGACCACCCGAATAAAAAGAGCTAGTACCCAAAAACTACGTTAGTGATTAAAATTGAATTGCTCGTGATAAAAAATGTAGAAAACTATATGTTTCAACAAATGACAATTGGAAATTATTTTCTAACTGGAAGGAACAACAAAAAAACGGGCACTTTTAGAACGCGGGAAGAAATGTAGCACTGTATTCTTTACAACAGTTCCATCCAACAAAAATTAGACCAAACAATTCCCGAAAAAGCAATGATCATTTAAAATAAAGAAAAGAACTAACAGTTCAAGAAAGCGCCAGGAACAACAAGCAGGTACCTATACAAATATAAAGACAGCTCCGCTTCGAAATTCTTGAGTCTACAGGCCTCATGGAGACAAATAGTACAGACAAATGCCCTTTTGGCAACAGCTACTAATGCAACTTTTAAATTTTTTCTACTGTAATCGTTTTAAGACCTATGTAATTTTATTATGTCTTCTACAGCAGCATAATTCCATATTTTTAATCTGCCGCTGCAGCAAAAAACTGCAACGGGCTGTCAGCAGTAAATCCTTACGTCTCATGACAACTACCAGCTACATCGTATCGACTAATTTTCTCCGGATCAGTCGCCTGAGTAGTTAACCAACTGCCAAAAGCAACTTCTAGTAACAGTCTGCAAACATCTGCACTCACCAAGTTTTAGTAGCGTACATCGACTTACACAGATGATGAATATTGACGGCTAAGGATAGTTGTGTGAAGTGTAGAAGAACCACATCACAAACACTTAGATTCTCCGAACTCTAGACTGGCCAATAAAGCTGCAAATTCGCATAAAATCTGCAGTCTTGTTATTGCTGCCTTATTACAGGTTTTAAAAGAGGACTGACTACAATTCCTTCTAAGTTACTATAGTTTAAAATTAACAGTACAATGAAGCAAAGTTTTCAGCGTTTAGAAAAACAGTAACTCAACAGTAATGCAGTACTTGGATAGAGTTTACTGAGTGATCAAGGGATTTTTTAAAATATCATTTGTTATTCTCACTACAGTCGCCATAATAAACGAAATGATAAAGGAATTCATAAAATTTTGATTATCCTTTTAATCATTACCTAAGTTTAGCTACTCGCTACCAATTTATATTCTGACAGTGAAATTATTGAGTGTCTGGCATTTGAAAAAAATAGTTCCAAACTGTTCTGAAGGACTTGTAAGAAATGAGAAGGAATAATGAATAACTGAACCACGTGACAATTCCAGGTTCAATTGCACACAATTTGGTGATTGGTAATTAAGAATTTTTCCAAGTTTTGCTGGTTGGCATAATTCAAATTCGGATTTAGAAATTTAAATGAAGCCTGACAAATCTGATATTATGGCTTTTCAGAGCTCAAAATTTTTTGTTTTTTTTATTCTACAGAGGCATATTTTAAGTTTTGTAGTTTTGTCAGCTGTAAGTAAAAATAGTTAACTTGGGTTCTAATGAAACAGGTTCAGAATTAAAAAAATTGAAACTTTTTTGCTAAAAAACAATCTTTATGAATGCTTAACAAAGAAAACTAAAAAAACTGCAGTTTAATCTAAAAGAAAGAAAACATTTCAAGCATAAATTTTTGTTGTAAAAACTCTAAGCAATTTCAAAATGAAAAAGCCTCGAAACACAGCAAAGGTTTGCAGTTTATTTTAGCCTAACTTTGCGTAGTAATAATTTCAAAATAAAATTTTAAGATACGTATTTTCCGACAACTTAAAATAATTAGACTACTCACAGAAAGTCTCAAATACAATAAGAGATCCTTTCTTGGGGGAAAAAAATTCAGCTTTAAAGTGTAAATTACTACCAAAATCCAATCAAGTATAGATAATTTGTTTCAATGTTCAGAAATATTTCATTTTCTGATAAGATATTACTTGAGTCAAACTAGAATTTCTACTCACCATCCTAGAAAATAAGCCTCAAGTTACTGATGTTGTCGTATAAAACTGTGTTTTTTTTTTTTTGAAGCTTAAGAAGAGCAAGGTACGATTTTTACAGTCTTTAAAAAACTGAAAAATTTTTTTTAGCTGAAAAAAGTTGTAATTTCATGAAGGCAAAACGTTTCAGATTTCAAAAAGTCAACCTTATTTCAACAAGCAGTAAATATTCTAACAAAAAAGAAAAAAATAACTTTCAATTTTGCATTTTACTGTCTGATCATTGTAGTCTAAAAGATAAAGCTTGTTTTCCCACTTCTTCAGGCTAGCAAAAGTTTATTCTTAAATATCTAAAATAACTTGATTTCGTCTTTAGTATTCACCTTTACCTCCAGTTTTTACTGTAAGATTTCACAGTCGATAAATTTTAAGAGTAGACAAAGAAAGTTTTATCAATAATGCAGAATACGAGTTCAACTTAGTCGGGTGGTGTTAAATTTGTAGAAGCAAAATTTACCAGGAATTGTTGTTAAAAGTTTATTTGGTTTTAATAATCGACATAAAAAAACGCATTTTTTTCCGCGGTAGACGAGTTGTTCCGGAAAAAAAAAAAACTTATTTTGGCAAATAACTGTTATTAGGTGAACGGTGGCTGCCCTTATATGATTATCTGTTTCGGCAAAAACAAAAATTTTTTTGTGAGGGAAAAAAATAAATTATGACTAAGTTCCATTTTTTCCAATTCGTTTTATTTTATTTTTAGATATTTTCTGTATTTTGAATTATTAAAAACTTTTACTGCCAATTTTTTGTGTTCATTCGCGAAACAAAATCAGAAACTTATATTTTGGTAAAATAAACCGAGACCTTTCTTGTCGCAAAAATTTTGTCGGATAAAAGTATCGAACACATAACAATGACGCCTTTTCCGGATCCTTTAAGGCATATCCGTTTACAAAAATCTGAACTTATGTCATCTTAGAAATTTGTTATAAAACTGTGCAGGCTGACAATTACGAAATCACTCAACCAAGTTGAAGGCTAACCCCGTATTCTGCACTATTGATAAAACTTCCTTTATATAAGAAGAAGTTGGTTTATGGAAATGGAAAAAATAATTGAAAAACAAATTAATTGGCAACTTATCAGTCTGTCATAATAATTTTATATGCTTCAATTTGATTAGAGTTAATCAACTTTAAATTAAATAAACGGTTCTACTTTCTCTCTTTCAATGAGTAAATTACGAAGAGTTTAGAAGAAAAGAAAGAGAATAAGTTTCACTAAGCGAGAAGTTTTGAGCACTTATAATAAAATTAACCTCTAAATTCTTACCCATTTTTTTCTTTTGAAAACTAATTTTAGTATTTTTAATCAAACCAATATATATAACCAATATATATCAATATTTTAAATTTATTTTAATTGTTTTGTTCTGTAGTCCTTTTCTGATTATCACAGAGTTGCCTGTAAGCTTTCATTTCACAGCACAGTCAAAAAAAAAAAAAAAAAATGTCGACTGAACGTTAATGCCCTCTGCGTTTTCATGATGACTTACAGATTGTTCCGAAACTTCACCTATAACCACTTGAAAGATTTCAGAGTTTAATAGGAAAAAAAAACATAAGAAGAAAAGAATGCAAATTTTCAACGTAACTTTGTTCCGCACTGTACAGGAAGAAATTCTGTGCATTGTACCACTTCAGTGACATTAAAATGAATTTCAACTTTTTTTCAGATCAGGAAGATAATTTTATTAGTACTTTAATGAAGGAATTTTGAATCCAAACTTTAAAATTTTCTTGAACATAGTAAGGATTTGTTACTTTACCTATCTGGAATAAGACTGGTATTTTATTTATCCTAAACAAATGATCATTCATTTGTCTTCTATTTATCCATTCTTTCAAAACCATAAATATGGATTTGTTTAGTTACTTCATTGTGCAGCATTGTTCACCGTATTTTTTTTTTCTGCTTTTATATTCATTTTGTCATTTTTAAAATTCAAAGCTGTTCTTCTTTCATGTTTATTTGTTTGCTTGTTAAGCACAAAAATTAACTAAGTGAATCTAAACTAAAATTTTTTTAGCATGGAATAGAAAAATGTACAGGAAAAAGCAGCTGACAAAGCAACATTTAGCAGTTGTTCTGTCGTCAGATACCTTCTTTTTGATGGCTGACATCAATTGTCACATATAAAACAGAAAAAAAAACAGGAATTTAGGTAAACACTGAAATGTGACTGAAAAAATAAAGCAAAAAAAAAGTCAAAAATTCACCTGTATTATCTAAGCTTCAATCACCTAAACTTTTTCTGTTCTAATCCTATATTACTGTCAAAATTTCATATCAAAAAAATCCTTACTCTAGACTAAGCATTAACCAATTGGACTATGGTCTAAAAACAGAAATAAAAAACCAACAATCAAACTAATGTAATAAGAAATGTTCTATCTAAAAACGTTCTATCTTCTTCCTTTTTTTTTTTTTTTTTTTTTTTTTTTTTT